TAGTAAAACTTTAAAACTTGTTGATTGACGAAAATGAAATACTAATTCTGTGTAAAACAGCATTAGAAGCTTATGTTGGTCGTTAGTGTTTACATAAATTACATTGTCATAAATATATTGCGATTTTAAAGTTAATATATTTAATACTTTGAATTATTCTCTACGGGATTCCTTATAATTTAAGTTTTGTATACGGTTCTATTTAACGAAAGAAATATAGTGTCAATGTCAGTCACGTTACTCCATAGCAAAATTCCATAAGATATAATATTACGCTATGCAATAACTAAAACGTACCAAATATAGCTGTTTCACCATTGATGAGACTTCTAATTCTGAATTCTTATTTTTAGTTATGAAGTCGTGGTATATATATATATATATATATGGAGCAACGTTTGGTAATTTTCAGTACTTTTCTTAGCTATAATTCTAAAGTTTGATGATCTATCCACATATATATCGCACATATCCCTTTTTTATTTATAAGTATGTGCCTATTTTTAAATTAACGATACATTCTGAATTTTCCAAAAAAACACATAATAATCATTTAAATAAAACTAATTTTACGGACTTTATCGCGTATATTAATCCATGGTCAAGGGTCTACCCCGTGACCATGGGTGCTGTAAAGTGCTTTAAACGTCGGGAATGTAAAATAAGTTAATATACGCGATAAAATCCGTAAAATTAATTTTATTTAAATGTGTAGTGTTCGCGTAAATATAAGAAATCATTAACATAATAATCAGATATATATTAAACATTTACTGTCACCTTAGTTTTAACACTAAGGTTAATAAATGTAAGAAATAAACAGATAAAACATTTTTATCTTTCCTGATCAATTTAGCTCAATGCAATGGTAGCATATCTGAATAGATTGTTTTATTATAGACTAAAGATTTATATTACGATCAGTTGGCAGAATAATGCACTAAAGAACAATGTCAGACTTTCATATATAAAATTAGTTGAGAATGAATGGTAGCGTCTATATATCAAAAAAATCTTCAAATATTAAGCGTCAGTCCCTGAATAACTTTGTCAAAGAATTTCGTCCTGGAGAAGGCGTCAAAAAAAAAGGTATTTAGATTTGAAGAATTTTAGGTTATGTCTCTGTCACTTGGAAAAAGTCATGCGTCCTGTGGTTGTTTGATGTTAGCTTAACACATTCTCAACATAATGTACCTACCTACATAATTGATAGTTTTTAGATTACTGTATCTATTTTATATATTTGCATACTATAAATGTATATTTCTGGCACGGCTCCAGGGCCTTTGTGTCATACAGTGACATTCTCAGAAGGGCTAGAACCCAGAGCCTTAAAGCCAGTTAATAAAAAAAACATTGACATTTTGTTTTAGTTAGTGTTGCCATAACATTAAATCGAATTGTTACATAGTACTATGATTGAGATAATGTATTTGTTTTTCTGTCTGTTTTGATTTTCTGCATTCACCTCAAAACTGGATATTTTGTATCACCTTTATTTCCATAGGATCCTGTAACGTTTTTAAACCATAAGAACACAATAACAAATCATTTTCACTTTGTATTTTCACGCTATCAGCACTTTTTAAATCGGTGTCGATCACTTAAATCTTGCCGTTTCTCTATTACGAGCCTGAAACCAAAATTTGACATGTTTGGACATCATTGTTTATCTGGTTGTCATGGCAATTTTTATTCAATTTCGTTACCGGTCTGATGTTTTTACTTCAATACTTCCACAAAAATATTCTTTTCCTCTTGGCCATTTACAAATATTTGCTTATAATTTAAATAATTTTCCGTTCATATCCCAGATCCGCCGTCGAGCGCGGAGATCTCTAAAAAGGTATAAAAGCCGAACAATCGGCCAATAAACGCAGTCTCGCTTCAGCTTTCAAACTTGAAGCATCTCCTAAAGGCCTTATCCCGGGGCCGCACTGGCCTGGGATCCTGCAAGCCTCTGCCTTCACCTAAAGTCGTCGCCTAGCCACGCCCACGCCTCCACCTACTAGTGCCCGCGCTATCTTTAGCCGCTGTGTGTGCCTACTCCAGGCGCAGCGTGTGCCTACTCCAAGCGCTGCGTGTGCCTACTCCAGGCGCAGCGTGTGCCTACTCCAAGCACTGCGTGTGCCTACTCCAGGCGCAGCGTGTGCCTACTCCAGGCGCTGCGTGTGCCTACTCCAGGCGCTGCGTGTGCCTACTCCAGGCGCTGCGTGTGCCTAGACCAGGCGCTGCGTGTGCCTACTCCAAGCGCTGCGTGTGCCTAGTCCAGGCGCTGCGTGTGCCTAGACCAAGCGCTGCGCGCCTACCACAGGCACAACCTGTGCATACTCCGTGAGCGGTGAGCACCACCGCCAAGCGCGGTGTGCCACTTTGGTCTTCGGGCTCCGCTTCAGTACTCATCTATCTTTATTATCTTTTTTTAAATAATTGTAATTAACGTCACTCATCATCATCATCATCATACTTCAGTTTTTTTATATAAAACTGTAAATATCTTTTCAAATTTTAAATTAATTATTTTTTTTGTTCTATTTTTGTTGTTTCGTTGTTGTTAGGTTAAGTTCTTTTGTTTTTAATTGTCGCTTTACGACATTTTTGGCGCCCAACGTAAAAGTTCTCTTTCTCTCTTAATTTTTTTTCACTTTTCTTCACATTTACTGCGCCTTGTCCATTTCTTTTGATTTAATTGCTTTCTCTTTCGTTCTTAACTCTTTATTTATTCATCCTTTTTATATCTTCCAAATTCAAAACAAAACTTCATCTAGTTTTTTAACTTATCTGGATTATATTTGGACCTACATTTAACACTTCACTTACATTCATCACTTTAATATTTTTATTCTAGATAACTTAAAGAGGTATAATTTTTTAATTAAATTTTTATTTCTTAAACTTAACCTTGCAATGAAAAGGGTTATTAAGTACGAATTCCTTAACAAGGCCGAGCTCGAATACGAAGTGAAGATTAGATGTGAGGAACCAGCTAATACTGTTTTGCTTCTAAATAAACAGGTTTTGCGTTTAGTTGCGAATTCTCACCCTGAAGATATTCTGACTTCTCCAATTCCGATCGAGGATGACTTGTCTCAAATTGGTTCTACTTTAACCTACCTGGACTGTAAAATTGAAAAATTTTTACAAGGTGAAACCAAATACTTACGACTAATATAAACTTTTATTAATTATGTTTTTTACAGATTGGAGCGAATAGATACTGACTTATATCCAGACTTTAAAGCTATTTTCGATACTTTGAAGATGAAATTTGACGCTATTACTAAACAATTCGAATCCTTGACTCCACCTTCAACTTAAAATGACTCTCCATCACTTGACCCTCCTGTTGACCCGACTGTCATGGAACCCCCTCTTGTTTCTCAAACTTCTGTTCAGATCCATACCCCGTATCCTTCACCACCACCTCAATCTTTTTCTCCAACTAACGTCTTCAAAGATCTGAAAAGACACACCTTCAATGGTAAAAGCTGTCCAAGATCCTTTCTTCGAAAACTTGAAGAATACTGCTTAGCTCGTGGCTTGTCCAAAGACTTGTTGATTTTTCAAGCGTTCGAAATTTTCACCGACAATGCTCTTCATTGGTTCAGATTTAAATATAATCAGAATCCAAACTTAACTTGGAACGAACTTTCTTCTTTATTAATCAAAGACTTTGGTGGTTTTGATTATTATCATAAACTTCTAGAAGCGATTAGGAATCGAACTCAAGGTCGTGATGGACCTATCGTCATTTATATTTCCATCATGTCTGGAATGTTCTTCTCGTCTCGTCTTTCGAAGAAACTTTCTGAAACAGAACAATTGGAGATTATTTTGAGGAATATTCGCCCATGCTATTTAGTCTTCGTAGCTCTAAAAGACATTGACTCTATCGACTCTCTGAAAGTCTCTATGAAAAGTTCCTAGACAGAGACAAACAATTTAAAGAACCAAATGTACCACACAGTCCTCTTATTTCTGAATTCAACTTCAAGTATTCCACTTCAAGTTCAGTTGACTCTCCAAATTCTTCTAATAAGTCACGACCTTCTCCTCCCTTCATGAATAAATTCACTTCATCCTACAAATACCCTTCTAGACAAGTTAATAGTCTCTCTCAAACTAAAGCTCCTCAAGAAAGCTCTTTTTGTGTTCGCTGTCGTAAACAAGGTCATACTTTGAACAACCACGATTCGTGATTTGTTTCAAATGTGGTCTTAAGGGTTTTAAAACTGCAGATTGCCCTACTTGTTCTCCCAAACCTAATACTAGTTCAAAAAACTAACTGCTGACTTGAAAAGTAACTTAAACTTTGATAATGACGATTGCACTAATTGGATTAAAACAATTCAAAACTTCTTTTCTTGTTACAAAATCTTTTCTACACTCTACTCCAAAGAACAAGATCTTAATCGTCCATTCGTTAATGTCAAAATTTATGACTTAACTTTATCTGGTTTACTAGATTCTGGCAGCTCAGTAACTTTTCTGGGTAATAATTCTCATTTGGAAAATCTTAAACTGGGCTGCAAACTTCTCAAGTCAGATCTTATTACTGTCTCTACTGCTAATAATCAAAAAGTTAATTCCTTGGGTTATTTTGACTTACCTGTTCATTTCAATAATCAAACTCATTTGATTAAAGCTTATGTTTTCCCTGAAATATTTCCTTCGCTAATACTAGGTATTGACTTTTAGAGAAAATTTAATCTTTTACCTAGTGTTTTATCTTCTCTTAACTTTACAGAATCTAAATGCTCTGCTATCGAAACTAAAGATATTAAAGTTTTACCTTATGAGCATTTAACTCCTAATCAAAAGAACATCGCTAATGACATCATCCAACGCTTCAAGACAATTTCTTTTGAAGAAAAAGGTATCCTGGGAAGCACACACTTAATCACCCACAAGATTGACACTGGTGATTCTCTTCCAATCAAACAAAGATGTTACAGACTGTCTCCTGAAAAAACAAGGCGTTAATTAATGAAGTTGACAAGATGCTGAGATGGAACGTCATTGAACAATGCGAAAGTCCTTGGTTATCTCCAGTTCTCATCACTCCGAAGAAGAATGGTGAATGGCGTTTCTGCGTAGACAGCAGGAAGCTTAACTCAGTTACACGTCATGATGCTTATAGTCTGCCACTAATAAGCGAAATTTTGGACAACCTGAGGAATGCCAGATACTTATCAAGCATCGACATAGCGAAAGCATTTTGGGAGATTCCCTTGAATCCTGCTGATAAAGATAAAACTGTATTTTATGTACCTGGCAGAGGTATGTTTAAATTCAAGCTAATGTCTTTTGGTCTCACTAACTCACCTGCAACTCAGCATAGATTAATGGATATGCTTTTTACTCCTGAATTTGAGAACAAGGCATTTTGCTATCTGGATGAAATCGTTGTTATTAGCGAGACTTTTGATGAATACATATCACTTCTCATGAAAGTTCATGAAAAACTTTCCTATACTAATCTGACTATTAACTTTGAGAAGAGTCAATTCTTCAGGAAAGAACTGAAATACCTTGGTTTTCTAGTGGACGAGTATGGTCTACGTGCTGATCCAGATAAAGTAAAAGCTATTTTAGAATATCCTGTACCTACTTGCAGAAAAGAAGTACGAAGATTCATAGGCACCTGCAGCTGGTTCAGAAGATTCATTCCAAACTTTAGCACTATTGCCTCTCCACTCAACCAACTAACCTGTTCCGGGAAGAACGCTCCTAAATTTTTATGGAATTCACAAGCTGCAGCTCCTTTCGAGAAACTTAAAGAAGCTTTGGTAACTGCTCCTGTCCTTGCTTGCTCTAACTTCGAACTAGTCTTCTCTGTACATTGTGATGCATCAAATTATGGCATAGGAGCAACGCTTACTCAACATCAAGATGACAAAGAAGTCGTGATTGCTGACATGAGTAAAGCACACTAAACAAAATCAACAGAACTACTACTCAACTACTGAAAGAGAAACATTGGCTGTAATAACTGCGTTAGAACATTGGTGATGTTACCTAGACAATGGTAAAGAATTTACAATTTATACTGACCATGCTGCACTTAAATGGTTTCAGAATTTATCGAATCCATCAGGAAGACTTGCTCGCTGGACTTTACGCTTATCATGCTGTAACTTTGTCCTGAAACATAAAAAAGGAAAGGATAACGTTGTTCCAGATTTATTATCAAGACATAAGAAACAAGAACGTCCTGATACACGAGAAACTTCACCTCAAGGCGTACATCCTATTACGATTGAAGAACCACCTGATCGTAAACTTGAGCACTACAACAAGATTTTTCTCAGATGCTCCAACAACCCAGACGCATATCCCAACTACACTATCAGGAATAACAAACTTTACCGCTGCATCCATTCTCCCGATCGTCTAAACGATGACTTTATTTGGAAAGAAGTTCCACTACCTCAAGATAGACATGCGCTTATTGAAGTTAGCCATGGTTCCCCTTCAGAACTCCATCTTGGTATCTTCAAGACATTCAAGAAAATATCTTTAAAATACTATTGGCCTGGTATGTTTAAGGACATTGCCAATTTAATCTCAACTTGTGAAACCTGCTTAACTACAAACACCCTAATCATTCTCCCTATGGTCTTATGGGTAAACCTAAACTTTGCTCCAGACCTTTTCAAACTATATCCTTAAATCTTATGGGTCCATTGCCTATGATTTGAAGACGAAATCAGTATATTCTAGTAATTAACTGCAATTTTACTTAATATACTACGATTTTTCCCCTTAAACGTGCTACTTCAGCTAATATTATTAATGTTTTGGAAAATTCAGTTTTTCTAGTTCATGGCATTCCCCAAACTATTATAATGGACAACGCTGTTCAATTTCAACCGCGAGAATTCCACTCATTCTTAAATTCTTATAACGTTCCTTGTATTTTTCACACAGCTTTATATTGTCCTCAGGTTAATCCTACGGAGAAGTTTACTTACTTACTTATCTTCACGCACAATCCCTGACGGGGTAGCCAGAGAGAACAGATCGCTAAGTGTCACGATCCTTACATACCTCTTTCGCTTCTTTCAGATTCATTATCTTCTTCATACATGCACGTCTAGGTATCCGAGTACTCTTGGCCCTCCCCTCTTCGAGCAATTTGCTCACATGGTCTTCGAAAGTTAATCTCGGTCTACCTCGACACCTTTTAATATTAACTTTCGCGCTATATATTTTCTTCACCATTCGGTCTTCACTCATTCGCTCAACGTGCCCAAACCACCGAAGCACGCCCTTATCAATTTTTGTGATAAGGTCATCTTTCAAACCTGCCATATTGCGAATCTCTTCGTTTCGCTTTCGGTCGGCCATGGTAATGCCGCACATTTTACGAAGAGATTGCATCTCCACTGCATTCAACTTACTTTTATGCTTCTTATAGCTAAACTATCACCACTAGTCTATGTGCTTGAAGACCCTAATGGAGTTAGAGGCAAGTGGCACATCAAAGATGTAAAATCATAAATTTTCTTAACTTTAATTACACATCTCGTTAGTGATGTTGCTGATCTCTGGCTTTGAGCCCTACCGCTCTGGCCGTTCTTAATCTTTACTTAAGTCATAGCGACTAAAGCTTACTTAAGATTAATTTCTTTATCTTTATCTTCACTTGGGAGCGGCTGACTACTCTCTAAATATTTTTTTTTCCACGCAGGAGCGGATGACAACTCCTTAAGTAAGCCTGAATGTCCTTTTGAAAACACCCTTTTAGTGTGGTAGTCATTGAATGTGAACTCCACCCTTACCTGAATGCAGATGATGAATGTAAGAGATAGTATATCTGATTTTGCCTGGTGATGTCTGTTTCTGCAAAGCTGTGTTTTTATGGTTTATTTTAGAATGTACATATCAAAATTTTTGCTGAGTCAAAATTTTTCCATGGTCGGGGGGAAAATGTAGTGTTATGCTACTTACATATCATTTTACACTATTTTAAATTCATTTTTCCATTCTGTTTTGATTTTCTGCATTCATATCAAAACTGGATATTTTGTATCACCTTTATTTCCATAGGATCCTGTAACGTTTTTAAACCATAAGAACACAATAACAAATCATTTTCACTTTGTATTTTCACGCTATCAGCACTTTTTAAATCGGTGTCGATGGAGTCTACCTTTTTCGATCTTTAGTTCTCCGTAACTCTGCAATTTCGGGCTTCGTGCGCGCTGGTGCGCTACCTTTTTCCTATATCAATAATATCTCATTTTTCACTTAAATCTTGCCGTTTCTCTATTACGAGCCTGAAACCAAAATTTGACATGTTTGGACATCATTGTTTATCTGGTTGTCATGGCAATTTTTATTCAAATTCGCTACCGGTCTGATGTTTTTACTTCAATACTTCCACAAAAATACTCTTTTCCTCTTGGCCATTTACAAAAATTTGCTTTTAATTTAAATAATTTTCCGTTCATATCCCAGATCCGCCGTCGAGCGCGGAGCTCTCTAAAAAGGTATAAAAGCCGAACAATCGTCCAAAAAACGCAGTCTCGCTTCTGCTTTCAAACTTGAAGCATCTCCTAAAGGCCTTATCCCGGGGCCGCACTGCCCCGGGATCCTGCAAGCCTCTGCCTTCACCTGAAGTCGTTGCCTAGCCACGCCCACACCTCCACCTACTAGTGCCCGCGCTATCTTTAGCCGCTGTGTGTGCCTACTCCAGGCGCAGCGTGTGCCTACTCCAAGCGCTGCGTGTGCCTACTCCAGGCGCAGCGTGTGCCTACTCCAAGCGCTGCGTGTGCCTACTCCAGGCGCAGCGTGTGCCTACTCCAGGCGCTGCGTGTGCCTACTCCAGGCGCTGCGTGTGCCTAGACCAGGCGCTGCGTGTGCCTACTCCAAGCGCTGCGTGTGCCTAGTCCAGGCGCTGCGTGTGCCTAGACCAAGCGCTGCGCGCCTACCACAGGCACAACCTGTGCATACTCCGTGAGCGGTGAGCACCACCGCCAAGCGCGGTGTGCCACTTTGGTCTTCGGGCTCCGCTTCAGTACTCATCTATCTTTATTATCTTTTTTTAAATAATTGTAATTCACGTCACCCATCATCATCATCATACTTCTTTTTTTTTATATAAAACTGTAAAAATCTTTTTAAATTTTAAATAAATTATTTTTTTTGTTCTATTTTTGTTGTTTCGTTGTTGTTAGGTTAAGTTCTTTTGTTTTTAATTGTCGCTTTACGACAACACAAGCCTCCTCTCATTTCGGTGGACCAGTGATGCCCTGCTCCAGCTCGGGTTAGCGGACTAGTGGCTTATGTGTATGTCCTTGGCTTTTGTTATTTCTTAGACATTTAGGTTTCTACTCCACCTAAGCTGAAAATGTTTGTGCTCGAAAATAAGAAATATTCCTATCTAATGAAAAATCCCATTTAAAATGATCCTTTTGAAAACAACTGCGGTTAAATGTGAACTACAGTTATATAATCACGTTCTTTAGTCCTAATTTGGGTCACAGCGTCTAATCACAACTATGATTTATTATGATTATATTATAAGAGTGTGTGCGAAAGCACTGGAACTCTTTATTTCCTCACTAACTCTCTTACGAACGAAAAAAGTAAATGCGCAGGAGCACGGAGGTAAAACACCGCTAACCTCCTACTCTATTACACTCCTTACTCTATATTTATAAAATAATCCAATAACTGGTTTTGGCCCGGGGTTTGATCCCGAGACCATATGATCAGCAGTCTCCCTTACGATCCCTAGACTAAAGATACAATTGAATAAAAACAGTTAAATAATAGCCATTACGCAAAATACAACTAAAAAAAATAAATAGAAGAATATTTTTGTGATCAAAGCCATGTGGAGCATATGGTAAATTCAGTATTACATCAATACGCCTACTTCCGTCTTTAATATTATGTATTTCGTCTTTTTCGTAGCTTGTTTGAGGATCACTGTCATCTCCAATTTTTTCCGTTAAATAAATACAGTTTCTCTCTCTCAAAATCTCGTTTACTTATTTTGAGGATAATCAGATTTCTGTACTGTCTATTGCATTATTGTGTTACTGCATGTGAGGCGTAACTTTGCTTCATAATTCGGTATATCAAATAAAATACTTATTTCGACTCTACTTATTTCTATAAAGTAAAAATAAAACATTAAAATTGTTTTGGTTATTTTATTATCTATGAAATATAAAACATATTTTACGGTAACAAATAGTGCAATTGATGACAACGTTATTTGTTTTCACTGTGTTGAAATAATCGGATTCTAATAATGAATAATATATAAGTGGTAGTACCACGCTATAGCGATATTTTGTTTGTTAGCACAAATGGGTTGACTTGACCGGGGAAGGACCACACTCTCACAGAATACCAGCGTACATTATCATCTAAATACTGCTGTATTTCGTGTGGCGAATGTAGAGAACCGGAGTTCCTTTTTATTGGAAACGAGGCATTGCATCTTAATGCTCAGGAGTTACACCGTATCTTCATTTTAATTATTAATCGAATATAAATATAGATGTCTATGGGCCACAGCATTCAATTGTCATCAGGTAGACTGTAAGCTCGTTTATCACCCTTATTTTATAAAAAAAATTGCTATCCGTTTGCCTCGCTAAAACTCGAAGATGGTTGGACCAATTTTGATGAATTTTTTGTGTATATTTGATTGGGTCCTTGAATTATCTAAATCATTTCCAATGGGACCCGGTAGGTGGCGCTGTTGTGGAGATGCAGAAATTACCTGTGCGAAGCCGTGGCGAATCGCTAGTTATAGTTAAAATTCAAACATAACTTTAGAAATGGCATCCGAATCGAAGATTTTGTGGTTGAATAAATGTAAAGTTACGTAGATAATATAGATATTAACAATTTCGACAGCATAGATTGACTATAAAAGAAATATAAAGGGAAAGATATATCAATATGAAACAAA